CTTTTCATGCTAATTGTTCGTTTAATAATACGATGGTGTGTGTGATGTTTTTGGCTGGCAGCAGACGGAGTAGTGTGAGGAAGATGAAAGGCAGCGGTAGCACTGCGGCTATTTAAGGAGGCGGAAACGCCACACATGGCGTGTTTAGCTGTAGCTGTGGAGCTCGCAGCCATCACGCCCCCAGAGGCTTCTCCACAGCAACACAATCTGTTCATTTACATGCCCTCCCACCCCCACACACACACTCAACCTCTGCACTGCACACAAGCTAGCACTTTGCCAAGTCTGTACCTACACAAGTACTGAGAGTATGAGTAGGTACAAACTGAAAGGATTCCCACTGGTGAATATCGTGCCTTTAGTGACACGCACTGAACAAAGTTGGTGTGGATTTGATTAACAAATCTTTGCCATAATTTGTCATATATTTAGCTACAGCTGCCTCATCAAGCAAAGTGCATTTGCCTCTAAACCCTGGCTTATATGCTGCATGTATAAAACAATGACAGTGTGTCCACGTATGCATACAGAAAATATGTGTGAAAACATACAAATTCGTTGTCTTCTCTTTTCAGTTGCAACAAATGGAGGAAGCTCAGCTGCAGCAGAGGGAGGCCAACCTCGCTGCTCTGGCTGCCATTGGCCCTCGCAGGAAGAGACCCCTGGATCAGGCCGACAGCCAGGTGGGTGCACAAAGTTTTGTTTTCTGTTCTTTTGTGGTCTGAATGGATCATTTCAGAAACATCTTTTCTAATTTGATATGTGTGAATGTTTAACCTGCTGCTGTAAAACTGCTGCCCTCCTCAGCTGATGAAGACACAGCAAATCTAGAACCTGCTGCAGTTAGCCTGTATAAGACTGTTAGTTTAGCTCATTGAGTCTTTAATTCTTTGTGTGTTTAAGTCGCAGCGCTTCAGGCTGTAGGTTTATAGATGGGGACGCTCTGTTAGCTGCACACTCTACCCGCTGCCTTTGAACTCCATTACCCAGAGGAAAAGACTGCGTGCCGCCTCTGTTTCCTCTCGCTGCTGCAGGCCTTCCTCCACGTCTGTACAGACTTTACCTCAGCTAGTTCAGCAAACATTGACAGGAAGCATGGAGTAGTGATGGAGAGAGCGCCATCTTTGCACAGATGTTCTTTTTCAATATCGAGTTAGTGCTCAGATCACACATCAGTTATGTTATCAGTAACCAGAAGAAGCCTTTCCCCTTCATTTTAAAATGTTTTAGACATGGTTTGAAATGAGACTGATTTAAGTGTGATCGCGGAGAATATTTGAAACTTTGTTACAAAGGCAAAGCAACATATTAGCTACCTAACAGGAAAGATGCTGCTTTAAAACCTGCCAATGAGATTATTTTTATTATGTCAGGATAATTACGAGCATAAACTGAACGAGGGAGACGTCCTCTCCGTACTCTTGCTGGTGGATGGATCATCACCTCTGGGCTGCTTTGTTTTAAGAGATCAGATTAAATTAAATCTGTAGCAGCCAAGCGAGCTGAAGAGCAGGAGCATGTGTTTATGTCGCAACACAACCAGCAGGTTCATGCAGGGAGGGTAACGCAGAAACTGTGTCTGTGTGTCAGGTGTGTGTGCTGCCCAGACCAGGTGTTCACAGAGTGACCCGGCTGATCCTGAAGGATCTGCTGGTGTGTATGGAGGAGGAACCCTTTCTGCGTCACTCTCTCACCCTCTACAAAGCCATGCTTTGATCAGCTGATTGTCTTCCTGCAGTTGATCTAAAATAATTTGTTGGAGTCCTCGTTTTGTGATATTCTGTTTTGCTTTTTGTCACGGTCGGGTTCAGCTGCATTTGAATCGCAGTCAGTTTTGGTTTTGCTGTTGTTCTGTTGGAAAAACTAAATGTGAAAGTGAGCACAGCTGTGTGTCCGTGAGCTGTGTGGAAAACTGTGACTGTGGTTTCCTGCTGGATTGTTGGGTTTTTTCCACGATTAAAAACATGTTGAAGTTGCACATCTCACTGTGTCTTTGTTTCTTACCTACAGTTGCAGATTCTTTCCTCTGCGACAGAAGACTGTAGTGCAAAGGAAGTGTTGTTGCTTAACCAGGAAACTGTAGTTTTACCTCTGAGTTTTTAGGCTCATGAAGGTTGAAAAAATAATAAATCGGAGTCTCAGGCTGACTCTGGACCCGGAGTCAGTAGCTTGAAGCAGCCCAACTAAATATTCACTTGCACTTATTAAGGAAAGAAATTAAGGACATTCTTCACTTCTTACTTTTTTCTCTTCTTCGCTGCAAGTTGTGAGACCATGACATGATTTTTCTCATAGTTTGTAAAATATACGATCTACTGTCAGGATACCTGTCCATGAACCTGGCTAAACTGGGAAGGTGATCAGCTGTGTGACTGCTTGATGTGAGGGTAAGTGTAGCTGGTCAGTGCTACAATTACTTAAAGACTTGATTTGTAACATGGGCTGTTGGCACGATGCTGTCAGTCTGATAGCTCATTGCTGTAATTAAGCGTAGCAGGCTGAGCCAAAAGTAGCTGAACTCAGTGACGCGGTGCAGTTCTGGCCTGTCGCTTGCATCCACACCAACAGCCAGGGAACAATCTTAAATAACCTTAGCAAGATGTTTTCAGGTAGCATGAAGAAGCACCAGCCCGCTGGAAGCGCCCACAAACCTGACATTTCTAGTCTTACAAAACTTCAGAAAATTAAGTCAGATGCCAAAAATCTGAGCTTTCCTGCGATTGGCTCCTAATGGCTTTGTATGCTCAGTCACTGAATACAACTTTTTTGTCAAACAGCATCTCCATTAGACTCAGAAACACACTACGTAACGTTCATTAGCTAATGACTTGTCAATATTTAACTGCAGCCTCCGCAGTAAGACAACAATAGACTATAAAAGATGAATTTTACCACACGAGTGTCACCGTGGCCACGGTCGACTCGTCTCCATTATGACGCTAACGAGACCATAACTGAGAAAGTGAACAAAGTGGTGCAACAAATAGGTCTGTAAGATTAAAAAGACCATAAACTCCATCACAAAAGCATTGACTGAGATTAATGGATCAAGCAGCGGGGCTATTTTCACGTACGGCAACGTGCTGCTGATCCTGGCAACGTGCTGCTGATCCTGGCAACGTGCTGCTGATCCCGGCAACGTGCTGCTGATCCCGGCAACGTGCTGCTGATCCCGGCAACGTGCTGCTGATCCCGGCACTGATCCTGCTGCTTGTTACACTGCAGAGTCCAGTTCAGTGCTTACAGGTGTTTGTACATGAGCCCAGAGTGAAGGACAAATGTGAAAATGTTCTTTGGTTCATAAACCTGGAATCACATCTCGGATCATCAGCAGCCTAACAGCAGGGATTTCTTTGCTCTTTGTTGGCGTCGAGTCTTTTAGTTTTCCTTCGGACACCTTTTGCTCCATTTTAGATCTATGCTGCGACTAACAAGAAAAGACAAGTAGGGTTATGAACACGTCTGATGGATGAAGAATGACATAGTTAAATCCCACTGCTTTGTTTTTATAGATCTGTTTCAACGTTTTCTCTCAGTAATATTAGTTGAAGGCCAACATGTGGCGAGGCAGCTGTGCCCATGACCACAGATCAACACTGCAGTCGATTATGGAGACGCAGTGATTATAGCTGTGGACGCATGTTTAAGGATGTCATTTACACACACGCAGTGTTGGTTCGGTTAAATGTAAAACTGCAAACTCTGGTTTAGCTGAACTTGACATCCCAACATCAGACGCTGTTATAGTTAAAGCACAGCAGGTAATAAAGAGTAACATGTAATGTGGCAAATGTCTTTTATTGAACCAGGTCCTCTCAAGCATTCTGTGGTTTCTTACATAATTGTTTGGCGTGAAGCCTCCCTGCACTCCGGTGTCATCATGGAAGTGCCAGAAAGCAGCATCAAACCAGTTTTCCTAATATTTTTACACGATTAGCTCAACGTTTGGAAAATGTGCTCCTTTGTTTTCTTGTTGTGATCTGATTGATGGCTACTCGTGTTAGTTAACCGTTTGCACAGCGGCAGGAGATTTCTATTTAACGTTTGTTCCTTTGTACATGAATATGAGGTCGATCTGTCCTCTTAATGTCAGACAAGCACATTTTCCAAATGTCTGAGCTGTTCAAAGTGCACGATGCCACTAACAAATGAAGAATCAAAGTTTTGCCTTTTCAAAATAAAACTTTGTGCATTTAGCCTTTTAAAGAGTCTCAGTACTTCATTCATAAAATGATCTTACAGGTAATTATGCAAAACAAAAGATGACGTGAACATACAATGTGGGACTGATTCGCTGTCCCTTAAAACACGTTTGAAAAACCAAATACAAAATACATTCATTTCTTTTTTTTTTTTTGTAGATTCTTGTAAGTTCTCAAAGCATGAGGAGAAGAATTGTGCTCTACAGTAAAAAGGTTGCATGCCATAAATGAAATTAAGGCTTAAAAATATAACTGAGAAGCTCGGTTTGTTACACGTTTTTGTTTTTTTGCCGTACCAAAAATAAACCTGTCACGCTTGCATCAGGTAAAAGTAACTGATGGTCTTCGCAAGTATTAAATATGAATGTAAAGGTTCATGCAGGCAAGGCCTTCATATTTACACTGTTCAATGCGACTGTTGAAAGCACAGAAACCAGCATCAGCTGTGAAAACCTGTTTCTGACGATCTGTGGGCCACTGCCTCACATCTGAAATGTTTGTGTGAGGCCCACATGGTTACATATGTGTGCGTTAAAGGAGAAAATGAGCATTGGTTACATATAACGCATGCGTGTGCGGGACTACAGAACTGATGCTTTCATCCAATCTAAGCTCGAGAAGAGCAGACAGGAAGACCCGAGGCTGTCACTGCTGCCAAAGACGCATTCACAAAGCGCAGAGTTAAAGGTCTGAATACCTTTAAAGACGAGAATCGAGTTCTTGATTTCCAACAAATCTAAAAAAACAACTCTTACGTGTTTTTATTTCATCACAACTTATTAAAAACATTTATTCTTTGAAAAATCTTTATTTACTGTAATGGCTGGATTTCACTCTGGTAGCGTGACACAGACTGACAGTTAATGTGGACAATTTTGGGAATCACAGGAAGGAAAACATATCTTGCATCAATGTGATGAAATAAATTGGTGAAAGGATGGCTGTGTTGTCTTCTAATTCAGGTGCTACCTTACGTTCACGTTTGAAGATTAGACCACGTTTCGCACGTCCCGCTTTGTTTCACTGTTCTGCTGCAGTGAGGGAGTCTGTGTCACGTGACAAACTGTCCACGCACTTGCACAGAACAGATGTGCAATCAGGTCTTCTGAATTTAATGCAGGAGTTCCTGTTTTATTGCTTTGAGGATCAGGGGGCGTCTGCCTTGGATCTCCCGTCGCAGGACGTATTCACTAAACAGGGAGGAATCCACTCCGCCGCCACACGACCCTGTGATAAAGAAACCTTTCTGCTGTAGCCGTTCCAGCACCTGCAGTCAGACACAAACCAAATAACAGCAACACAAGAATGAGGCATAACGAGAAGATCCAGAGCAAAACATTTAGACGTGATCGCTGTCTCGCTGGAGTCAGGAATACTGAAGGAAGGTGGGACTTGATGGCGTTTCCACCCGGTTGTTCGCTACAAGAGTTGAACCTGTGAAGTGCATGCATTAAAAACACTCATTTTCACCATCATGCATACCAATAACTTTATCACACCTTTACCAAATACTCCCTGGTATCAATACTTACGCACCAGAGCACATAGTAACCACCCCAATACACAAAGGCATTTAAACAGTTTAGAAATAGACTCTGAAATTGAAGCCTCTGCAGTAAAGTATGGTTTAAGAGGCAGTGTAAGCTGCCTTCAACTCATCTGACCTGATTTCCTTGGGCAGCTCGTTAGATATTGTAGATATAGTCAGCATTTAATCAAAGCATCAAGTCTGTATGTGGAAAAGTAGGTAAAAGGGGATAAATAGCCCACTGGGTTACAGATGCTTGCTGCCACAGAAAGACACATTCCTGTGGAAGAAACCTGCAGGCTGGGGCGAAGTTCAGCTATTAATTAGTGCTTCAACCCTAATTATGATAATCACAGTAACTTACTGTAGATATCAGAACACACTAGTAGTGTTAACAGTACAGCTCTACAGGGGTTTGAATAATATCTAATAAACTCAGTTCGTGTAAATGGGGAGTCTTCTTCACACACTAAGGCTAATATGGCGCTCCACAGGGCTGTGTGCTGGAGCCACTGTGCTTTACACAATGGTAAATCCAGAATCCAATCTTTCCTGTGGTACCAACTCCCAGTTTGGATTTACTCTCCATGCGTTTATAACCAACACTGCATTTAAGCTGTTTTTAAACTCTGGCTCTCTTCAGTACAGTTTCTGGAGATGGCTGCCCCTCCCTGAGCCTGGTTGTTCCACAGAAGTTCATCCTGCCAGTGTCACCAAGCGCTTGCTCATACGGGGTCATCTGATTGTTAGGGTTTTTGCTCCATTATTGTTAGGCCTTTACCAGACCACGTGAAGTACCTCAATCCAACTGTTTTCAGGTCAGTCATGATGGCTAACTTTACTTTATAAACCTCCCGTAAACACTTAATTTCTGACTCAGTTTTTGTTCTTTCCCCTGACTTACTATGAAATGGTCAAATCATTGCATTTTCATTAGAAAGAGTGTTTGACACAAAGCAGATGTTTTTGTGTTCAGTAAGTATGACAACAAAGGAAAGCAAGCGGCGAATCTGTGTCTTTCTGATTTACGGTTATTCTCTGCACTTCTTTTGTGTTTGCGTTTAAATGTGTTGCTAACAACACGTGAGCCTCAGGACCCAGGGTCACTCTCCATCTCAAGAAACCCATCAGCCTATCTGGCCTGAAACACAAACACTTCAGAAGTAGTCCACTAGTTCCCCTCTGAGCGTTTCCTCCTGAGGTGAACGCGGTGACATTATCTCAGTTTGCCCTCTGGAGGCTTCTGCTCTCTGTGCTGCTGGTCTGTCTTACTGAGATCTCCCCCGGGAGACAAAGGCAGACCTTCAGGTGATGAAACGTGTCACCCGCCTCAACACAGCGCTGTTACAAACCGACTGTCAGCATTCAGAGTATGCTAACATCACATAAAAACACATCAGGCTTTGATGGATGGTGGAAGGGTGGCATCTGCCAAAGACGGAGCTGACAGATAACAGGCGACGGCACATTTTAGAGTCCCAGATATCATCTTGACTCCTTTAGTTAAGCTGCAGCTTGAGACGGTGCATTGAACACAGCTATCACAGCGGCGGCTGTTTAGCTTGACTCTCTCACACTGGGTGTCTGGACGGTGAACTTCTAAATTCCAGGTCCCGTGTAACACGTCCATCTTTATGAAGGATGGACAGAAGCAACAGTCCAGACGCTGTGGTGTATAAACAACCTATGACAGGATGAATATAAGCTTTCATGTTGATTACGTCAAATTATGACCTTCCATCCGACATTGCAGCAGAAATCAAGGCTCATCAGAGCAGGCGATGTTTTTCAGTCTCCCATTGTCTAAAGTAGGTGAGCTGTACCACCAGTTTCCTGTTTTTAGCTGACAGCAGCAGCTGTGGGCTCTTGCTGCTGTTGTGCATTCAGAAACACTCTCCTGCACACTTTGGTTGTAACAAGCTGTTATTCGAGTCCCTGTTTTCTTCCTGTCAGCTGTGGTCTGGTATTAACGAACACTCTGAGCTGCCCGTCTGCCACCAACAACCACGATACTCTGTGAACTTCTGCAGGCTGTCTTGACTGTGTCTACATACAGTGGGGCAAAAAAGTATTTAGTCAGCCACCGATTGTGCAAGTTCCCCCACTTAAAATGATGACAGAGGTCAGTAATTTGCACCAGAGGTACA